TTATAATAATAGTAATTAGAATAATAAAATCTTAGCTATAACTATAAGTATAATTATATATTTTTCTTGCGCCTTAGGCACTATTAGTAATGTATAAGTATTCTATAGAGAACTTATTAGTATTCTTCTTACGCTTAGGCTCCTCCTAATCTATTCTAATTCCTCCTTATCTGATTATATAACTACTATTTATTTTAATAATCAGGCAACCTTATAGTTTCTCTTAAAGAGTAACCTGACTTACTCTTAATTACTTTTTAAAGATATTTATTTAGCTATTAAGGAGCTTAGGCAGAAGGAAATCTTAACTAAACTATAATAGTTATCTAAACATAAAGGGATTAGGGGCAACAAAATAATAGATAACTATACTAATAAAGCAGTAAGGGCTATAGGCCCCCTCTAAGAGCTTACAACTTACTTCCTCTTTACAATCAAAAGGATTACGAAAAGAAGAGTCTAGAAGCGCTAGGACTAGTCCTAGGAAAACAGAGTACAAACCTGCAGAATCACTAAGCTCTTCCTCTGTATTTCTCTTGCGAATCACAGGCTTTATACTGGCTGACTAAAAGCACATAGTGCCCTGCTAACCTAGCTTAGGACTAGAGTAATCAGATTTAATACCTTCCTCTTTAAACGCTAAGTACCCTCTGTGCCTAGCCCTTACTACAGGTGCGGGTTAGGGACTATGATAGTACAGCATGTCCTCCTCTCCTGCCCTATATAGTCTCAGCTCCAGAGACATGTCTTAAGTGACCACTTGTTCTCTAACATGCGGAAGCTTCTTAATAGCTATAAAGGAGCGACCCAGGCTATTTGCTTCATCCTTTAGACTAACCTGCTAGCCTAATTCTCTCTGGTCGCATGTGACTTGTAGACGATGCGCTCTTAAGTTATCTAATTTTACTATTCTCCTTTATTGATTTTTTTCTGCAGTTATATAAAGCCCTTAGAGCTTACTTTAAGTATACTATTTCCTTAATTATCATTTACTTTATAGCCCTTTATATAGTTAGGCCTATATAGATTTATATAGTAAATCTAAAATAGGTTAAAAAGGAAAAAAAAAAAAAAAAAATCTAAATAGATATATTTTGAGCATAATTACTTAATAAGATTATAATAGATATTTAGTAAGATAAAGCGATTAGTAATATTTTAAACTACTTAGTAAAGAAAGAGAACAATAATAATAGTAATACATAAGTATTATATATATTATATAAAGTACAAGAGCTACTAAAGGAAGAAAGAAGGCAGGACGCTAGAGACGCCTAAGATGAAGAGGAATTAACAAGATTTACTAAGATAATCCTCTAAAGCATAAAGGATAGGCTAATAAAGATTAAGGAACAGAAACTACCTTAGGCGAACCCTTATTAGAAAGCATGCCCTCTAAAAGCGTTATACGCTACAGCAGCGAAATAAAATATAGTTAACAATAGGATACAGAGCTCCTTAAGACCTATCGCCACCTATTACCTAGTACAGACAGGCAACGCCTCTAGAAAAGAGGAGAAGGAAATTATAATTAAGATATCTAATAAAATAGAGAAGCGTATAATACGTAAGAAGAAAGCAAAGGAACTAGTAGAAATAATTAAGAAAGTAACCCCTAAACTTATAAGAGTAAACAGAATAGGAAATAAGAATATTAAGATTATAGCCTTATCTAAAGAGGTAAAAGCTGCCCTTTTAAAAGATACAGAATAGATTAAAGTAATAGAGACTTTAGTAATGCTTTAGTAGCGCACCTTTATAATTATAATATATAGTATTTAGGTAAACAGGATAAATATTACTAAATAGCCAAAAGAGATCAAAAGACTATAAGCACTTAATAGTAGTCTATATAAAGACATTAAGATTATTAAGATAGGCTAGTTAGCTAAGGCGATTAAAGATAAGAAGACCTTTTCCTTACTTCTAGTTAAGGTAAAAACTACTAAGATAACAAACTAAATACTAACTAAGGGGTTTATAATTAATTATAAGCTTAAGCACTATAAAT